GAGCAGCTCAGGACTGCTCCATAGCAGTAGAACCTTTGTCTTACAGGCTGTGCTGTAGCAGGCAGACGAATTCCTGCAAAACACCCCCAGTTTCTGATATTCCACAGTTTCTTATTAGTCACCCAAAGTGGCTGTCATTGCAACACTTCCTCCTCAGACATGTTAACATTTCCAAGATTGCAGTTTCTTTTTCATGACTTATATCCTTAGGTCAGCACCCTCTGTGCCCTGCTGCATGCTGGGAAGCACCCAGTCTTATTCAGAACACACCAATCATCCCTAGTAGGCTCTTGACTAGAAAGAATTCTACAGACGGCAGCAGCCTCACCCACTGCTGTGAGCTTCTGAGGGTTTCAATTCCAAGGGGATATTTTCTGACCCACTCGAATTGATTTGGTGGGGGAGTCCCTGTATAAAAAAAAAAAGTTGTGTTCATTATATTATCGATTGCTACTTTTCTGCATGGAGCTCAAATAAGAAAAAGATAAGTAATGGTGGTAATATGCCTTTTTAAAAAGAAAAACGTGTACAGTTGGTTATTGAGAAAAGTCACCTTTTCTCCCCAGAAACAGACTCTTAATCCACAAGGGCATGAAATCCTCTAAAAGGGGTCTGTGGCTCTTCAAGGTCAAGCTGGACCTGGGACCAGATGCAGGCCAGCTGGAAGGTGTGTGCCAAGTGAAGACCGGACCCAGGGCCTCCGAGCCCCTGGAGAGGCAGGCCGGGTTCCTGGTGCAGAGATGGGAGAGGGACTCGATTTAGCTGCATTGCCTCTCTGTCACCCTGCAGGCCGCTTCTGTGGGGGCAAACTCCCCGAGCCTATCGTCTCCACGGACAGCCGCCTCTGGGTTGAATTCCGCAGCAGCAGCAACTGGGTTGGGAAAGGCTTCTTTGCAGTCTATGAAGGTACTGACGAAGGTGAAGGGGGTGGGAAGTGGCAGATGGGAGGTCCCTGGGCATCCCAGACCCCCTCCCTCCTAGCACTGTAGAAACAGGTTGAGGGCCCTTGAGAGATGAAGCAGGAATCCTGGGAGAACTTTCTGGGTTGGTGAGGTGGGGGCGGGGCACAGGGAATCTGGAGGGGCATGGAAAGGACTAGAGGGGGGAGGAAGGACTTCTTAGCAAGGAAAAGCATTCTGATGTACCTCCTCTTATGTCCACTTCACTCTGTGTCCCCAAAGCCATCTGTGGGGGTGATGTGAAGAAGGACAACGGCCACATCCAGTCACCTAATTACCCAGATGATTACCGGCCCAGCAAAGTCTGCATCTGGCGGATCCAGGTGTCCGAGGGCTTCCACGTGGGCCTCACCTTCCAGTCCTTTGAGGTAGGTCAGAGACCTGGTGCCCCTGGCCCAGCCCAACTCTCTGCCAGCCCCCGGGTTTTGGGGCCAACAGCCTGCACTCCTCCTCCTGCTGATGGAGTCCCCGCCCCCAGATCGAGCGCCACGACAGTTGTGCCTACGACTACCTGGAGGTGCGTGACGGGCACAGTGAGAGCAGCACCCTCATCGGGCGCTACTGTGGCTATGAGAAGCCCGATGACATCAAGAGCACATCCAGCCGCCTGTGGCTCAAGTTCGTCTCTGACGGATCCATTAACAAAGCTGGCTTTGCTGTCAACTTTTTCAAAGGTACCTCCTTCCCGTTCCTCCATGGCTAATCCACCTCCTTCATTCCTTCTGTTTATTTCTCACATTGTACAGTGGGAAGAACTCATTTCTAAGTGTGGGGCACTGTTTTGCTGACCACAGGCCTGTTGAGCAAGAGATCTCTGGAGTTTATTCATCTTGATCTTGCTTGACTCAAACTTTATGCTCCTTGATTAATAACTCCCAGACCTTGGCAACCACACTCTCTATTGCAGTATATGTCTTTCTCTCACTGGCGTTTTATTTAACCTTGGGTCCTCAAGTCATCCATATTGTTAATATGCACATTGTTCTTATTTTTCAAGGCTGAATCGTATTCCGTTTTGTGTATACACCATATTTACTTTATCTTCCTCCATTGATGGATATTTAGACTGTTTCCACATCTTCGCCATTGTGCTGTGCTGACCTCATCCCTTTTTCACACACTCTTTCAAAACAGTTTATAAGGCATGTATTGGCCCTGGTGCCCTGTCCTTCTACTTATGACCTATCTGGGGCAAAAAAGTCACTCCCCCTGAAAAACTGCATTCCTCACTGAGTAAATGACAATATTATACAACAGTAACTGACACATGGTAGGTGCTCAACTATGAATTCAAATTCATAGTTCAGAAATTGCCTAACAAAATCTAAGTTTGTCCAGGAGAAATGCCAGTGAGTTGCAGACACAAGGAATGTGATAGAAGTTCAGGGAGGATGAAGGTAGTGTGGAGTTTTGTATCACTATGACCTTGGACAGGGCATTCCACATGGACCCCATTTCAGGGCACTCCACGTGGACCCCATTTCAGGGCATTCCACGTGGACCCCATTTCAGGCCATTCCACGTGGACCCCATTTCCTTATCTGTAAGTGGGGCTATTCCCAGGCTCTGCATCCCAAGTCTCATGCTGGGCTGTAGGGGGAATTCCACAATAGCCCCTGGCCAGGGATCTGCACCAAGGGCACCAGTAGAGGCAGTGGCCAAAGTCCAGCCACTGCTTTCAGAAGGAAGGTTCTGTGGGGCCCACCTGTCTGCTTCAGGTCACCGCTGGTCCTTAGCGGCGCTTGCAAGTGATCTCCACAGGCACAGAGTGAAGTTCTGAGCAGCCTTAGGGTCAAGAGGAACAAGGAGTCCCACGGCCTCAATGTCAAGCAACTCACAGCCGACTCCCGCCTTGGAATGGGATTCAGGATGGTCACGGGAAACCTGGGGTCCCCTGAACCTGACTCTCCAGCCAAGGAAAGGAGGTGGGAGCCAGACTGGCCTGGCAATCACGTGGTTTCCTTCCACCACAGAGGTGGACGAGTGCTCCCGGCCCAACCGCGGGGGCTGTGAGCAGCGCTGCCTCAACACGCTGGGCAGTTACAAGTGCAGCTGTGATCCTGGGTACGAGCTGGCCCCTGACAAGCGTCGTTGCGAGGGTGAGTGCCCCCAGCTGCCCCAGTCCGTCCCCAGCCCAAACCCTCCAGCCCATATCACCCACGCCTTGGTCAGGTTCCTTCCTGGAAAAGTAAGGGCTCCCCAACGGACAAGGAACACATTTTACATCACAGTCCCCAGAACACTGTGTTACCAGGTGTGATGTGCTCTGGTATACTTTTTTTTTCATTCCTAGTCTTCTTTTTAAATGTTGATCTTGACCTGCTCATTGATTTCACCACCCGCCAGAAGGTCATGATCCTCAATGTGGAAGGCAGTTCTTGGACAGGCACAGAGTTTCAGCCTCTCCCAGAGCCTGTTCCTGAGAGGCTGGTGAAGCACTCCCTGGCCACCGACTCCAGCTCAGCCTGTTCTTGCTGTGTGGCCTCACTCTCCCAACCTCTGAGCAGCCTCGCTGTCCAGCACCCTGCAGTCCTGGCTGGTCCCCTCACAGAGGAAATGGAGCCTGCTCATACTCGACTCCAGCTCCTTTCACGCTCTAGATAGCCCCCTCACCTGCCCCCTTCCCTGTGGCCCACACAGACCCAGGAATCCACAAGTCCCCACCTCCTCCTCCATGATGTGCTGAGCCCAGGCCCCGCCCTCCCCTCCAGCGAGCCGGACTCCTGGGCGTGACGCCACCCCGCATGTCCCCACAGCTGCCTGTGGCGGGTTCCTCACCAAGCTCAACGGCTCCATCACTAGCCCGGGGTGGCCCAAGGAGTACCCCCCCAACAAAAACTGCATCTGGCAGCTGGTGGCGCCCACCCAGTACCGCATCTCCCTGCAGTTTGACTTCTTCGAGACTGAGGGCAACGACGTGAGTGCCTGCCCGCCTGGGAGGAGGCTGCGGGGAGCCTGGGGCTGGGAGCTGGATCCCGTACCTGCTCCCGCCCTCTGAGAGATACTCTGAGAATGCAGAGAGACTGTGGGCGGGCAGGTGTGGGAGCAATAGGGTGGGTTGGTGCAGCAGGTAACTGAAGGCGAAAGGACCCTGGCACAGGAGCATCCCGGGCAGGGCGGGAGGGAGGCTTCCAGGAGCAGGCTGGGCTGGAGCCGCGCTGCCTGCAGGTGTGCAAGTATGACTTCGTGGAGGTGCGCAGCGGACTCACTGCGGACTCCAAACTGCACGGCAAATTCTGCGGCTCCGAGAAGCCTGAAGTCATCACCTCCCAGTACAACAACATGCGCGTGGAGTTCAAGTCCGACAACACGGTCTCCAAAAAGGGCTTCAAGGCCCACTTCTTCTCAGGTAACCCGGGCTCCCAGAGCCGGAGCCCTGCCTGTCCTTCTTTCTGCCACTGCGGCTTGCCCGGCCCAGCCCTCCCTGGTGCCGGCAGCAATAGGCTCTGTCTCCTGCTCCCCCCACCAGGCCAGCCTCTATGTGCCTGAGCTCCTGTATTCCTGAGCGCACAGGGCTTATGAGAGGCAGCCTGAGGATAGGCAGGACATAGAAATGAAGAGAGCGCATTCCAGGTTTCAGGAGCTGCACAAGCCAGGGCCCGAGAGAGGGCAAGCCCAGGGAACAGGGAGTTCAGTGTGACCATGTGGAACACCTAGTGCGTGTTTGCATTGGACCGTGTGGGGCGGATTATCTGGCAATGGCCAGACCTCTAATCAGACCCTGCATAAGCCAACAGGGTTCATGCTGGGGCCTTCAGAAAACATGAGTGGCCTCCCTCCCTCCCCACCCTGCCTCGCCTGTGGGTGGAGGACTCAGGCCCAGACAGCCTCCGGCTACCGAGAGGGGCCCCGTGGAAGGCTTGGGTGAAGTTCCTTTGGTGGTGTAAGTCGTCAGCAGACCCCTGCCCAGCCTCTGAGCCGGACCTCCAGGGGTCCCCCGAGATGCCCCCTGTTTTATTAATCTCTCAGTCTCACGCCCAGGGGCTAGGTTGGGAGGTGGCTGGTGAGCTTCCAAAAGCAATAGGCCCTGGGTGGGACAGCGATACAGGCGGGAGCTCCATGGAGTCAAGGTTGGGGGGAGAAGGCGAGGAGGCTGATGATTCTAGCAGCCAGTTTTGGGGGGGAGCAGCCCAGGGACCCTCATCTCCAGAATGCCTGGTGGGCTGGGCTCGGGGCAGCAGGAAGACCAGAAGCCCAGAGCCGAGTCCTCGCTGCCTTCCTTCTCCCCTCCTTTGCCCAGGGCCCTGCATCCTCAGCCCCCTGTGTGACCACCCTACATCCCTGCCTGCCCCCTGGATGTCATGCACTGCCTCTGTGCACTGGTTCCCTGCTTGGCATTGCCAGCCACCCTGCTCTGCTTGAAGTGCCCACAGCCCCATCCTGCTGCTGCTTGCTGAGACCTTCCCCTGCAATGCAAATTCCTTCCCTCCCTCTGCCCCTGGAACTCCTATGAGGAGTATGAGGAGCTCTTCCCAGGGCCCAGGGGGGTAGCACCTCCTCAAGGGTGGGCTTGGCCCGGTGAAACCATTACCTGCTTACTCTTGTCTCTTCCTGCCCTCTGTTGCCCCAGTCTTGGAGGGGGGAGGGGACAACATGAACTGAAAGACAGAGAGCCCGGAGCTCTCCTCCCAAGGTTAACTGCCTGCCCTGGCAGGACCCCATGCCTACCCCATTATATGTACGCACGCACGCACGCGCACACACACACACACACACTCACGCACTGCTCAGCAAATAAGAAGCCACCTTACCAGTGGGCATCAAGGTTTAACCCTCAGGGCATGGGGCATCTGACTCTGGCCCCCCAGGAGGGGGGCTATTTGGACTTTTGGGACACCCATGGAGGAGACCCTAAGCCAAGAAGACGAAAGAGCCTGAAGACCTTCAGTCTGACCCCAGCCACCTTCCGGGGCATTTGGCACTGGAGGGTGAGTGCCGTCTCCTGTGTGGGCCCATGTGCACCCCCACCCCTGCCCCTCCTGCAACCTGCTCCCTGGTTCTGAGGTGAGGCTGCCCACCCCCGCCCTCCCCAGGATGTACAGCAGGTCTTCACCACCCTGTCTCACTCAGTCATTGGCAAGTATTTATTTTGACCCCTATCCTGTGCCATGAACTCTATCAAGTATTTGGGGTACAAACATGAGGAAGGCATATGGGGGTTAAACATTTCAGGGAAAGCTTTGCTCATTCCATCACCTGGGACTGCTGAAACTGCCCTCAGTCACGGGCAAGTTCCTCCATGAACCCCTAAGACAGGTTGTGGGCACTCCTCACCCCCACTTTTCTGCAGGGCTGGTACAAAAGCAGCTTCTACAGGGCTTCAGTCAAGGTTCTCTGTATAATTTCTCTGGCCAGAGATGGGGCCCTCGGGAAGGGACATGGGAGCCACCACCTCTTGGCCTCAGGTTCTGGTGGGCCCCACCTGCGAACGAATTAGAGAAGCAGAACTTTCTAGAAACCAGTGCCCCAGCCCAGGGCCGCTCTCCTGATAGAGAGCAGGAACAGGCCCCCCGCTCTACCCCGCCACACCCCACCTGGCCTTTTGAATGCCAGAGAACGTCTTTCTACCTGGAAGTTCACCTTGGGAAATCTGGGTGTCTATCTGATCCATATGCCCACCCTGAATGCTGCCATGCCAGGCAGACAGCCCCAGAGCAAGCACGGCGGGACAGACAGACAGGAGACTATGTAGGTCTGACACACACCTGTGCCCACGTGTTTCTCCGTGTCTGTGCACGTGTTGTGTGTCCCCTGGAGACCACGTGCTCAGGCCCCGACGCTCATGAGCCTGGTGTCTGTACTCACGTGTCTGGTTCCTTGTTGGGACCCTGAGTGCCTGTAGGTGCAGCTTTGCTGTGTGCTTGTACCTGAGCGTCTTCTTCACACGTAGGTGTGAGTGAGCAGGCAGCATGTGTCTCTCGTGTGTGTGTGTACGCAGACAGGTAGATGGCGATGGGTGTGACCCACGTGTCTGTGCAGGTGGGCTGTGTGTGCCGTGCAGGTGTCTGTGTGCACCTGTGCTACCATGCTGGAAGTCTGTGCGGGGGCCCGTGCCTGTGGGCATGTTGGCACGAGCCAGTGTCTGTGTTTAAAGCCTCCAGCTGCAGCAGCAAGAATGGGGGAGCAGAGGTCTCCCCGAGACCCCCCTTCCCTGGACGGCTCCCCTCTCACGGAGATTCCTTCTCTCCCTCCCGAGTTCGCAGGCCCCACACCCACCCTCAGGCCTTCTCTGTCCCCTGTTGCTGTGCCTCCTCCCCCCGGCTGCCCTCTAAGACCTGGCTGCCCGGACATGGCCGTCCTGCATGTGTGACCCCGCTGTCCTGCCCCGCCCTGTGGACCGTCCTCTGAGCCCCCGGTCTCGTTTTCACCGCTTTCCCTCCCTGGCCCCTGCCCTCCACCCCTCCCCTTGGTCCCCTTTCTCCTTCTCTCTCTCGTTTCAGAAAAGAAGCCAGCACTGCAGCCCCCTCGGGGACGCCCCCACCAGCTCAAATTCCGAGTGCAGAAAAGAAACCGGACCCCCCAGTGAGGCCTGCCAGGCCTCCGGACCCTTGTTACTCAGGAACCTCACCTTGGACAGAAAGGGATGGGGGCTTCGGTGCCCATCCACCCCCACGTCCGCTCTGCCATTCCGGCCTCCCTCCTTCTGGCCGGACAGAACTGGTGCTCTCCTCCTGCCCTGTCCCCCTCGTGTGGACAGGCGACCCCCCTCCCCACCCCTCCCATTTTGATGGTGTCTGTGACATTTCCTGTTGTGAAGTAAAAGAGGGACCCCTGTGTCCTGCTTCTTTCTCTTGCAGTCTGCTTGTCCGTGTGTCTGTTTTTCTACTTGTCCGTCTGTCCAGTAAGCAGGTAATGGTAGAGGGCCCATGCTGGTCAGTTCTGGACCCCAACCCACCCTGCCTCCCACTTTACTTTCTCTCCCGACAGTTGGGTGCTACTCAACTGGCTCCACTTCACGCAGTGCCCCGGACCCC